CACGGAAAAATTAAATTACCTGCTTTGGAGCAGGGATCCAGCAGCTAATGGGCAGCAGGCACCGAGGGGGGGGTGTTGTCTCCACGGGGACAAGCAGCCCATTAATTGGATTGGGCTCTGATGAGTTCCACCCTCCGTGTCAGACACGGAGAGCTCCGGGCTGGCTCCCAGTGCCGATTCCTTCCTGTTGTACCAAGATATTCTTTATTTAATGTTGCCAGAGCTGCCGGGTCAGAGCTCCTCGGGGCTCCCTTGGGGCTGGGGGTGCCCCCACAGCCAGGGTGGGGCTGGCCTTGGACCCTGGGGGGCTTGGGGATGGGATGGGAGCTTGGATTTAGAGCAGTGCAGAATCCCAGCCTGGTTTGGGTTGGGGGGACCTTCCAGCCCGCCCAGTGCCACCCTGCCATGGCAGGGACACCTCCCTCTGTCCCAGGCGCTCCAAATCCCGGTGTCCAGCCTGGCGTGGGCACTGCCAGGGATGCAGGAGCAGCCCCAGCTGGATTGATCCCAGCCAGCCTTGCCCCAGGTGCTGGCAGGGCAGCGTGCCTCGCTGTCCCACGCCCCGGTTCGGTCCCTCCCGGGCGGATGGAGCCCCCGGAGCCGCCGGGGGTCCCGCAGGTGACAGAGCTCGTGTGCCACCAGAGGAACCCGGGGGGGCGCTGCCCCCAGCCTGGCTCAGAACCTGCCAGAACGACGCCTTTTAACTAAAAAAAAAAAACCCGTTTAATGGGAGTTTGGATCAGTTTTCCTCAAGTGCAATTACAAATGCAAATGGAGTTTTTGATGTGAAACCAGCGGAAATGTGATGGCTGTGGGCTCGATAAGCGCCGGGCTTTTGTTCTGCAGCTCATTTCCTCGCGCAGCTTCCAGCAGCCTTATCAAAAAGAGCAAAAAGAGCAAAAAGAGCCATTCCCGGCGGGTTCAGCTCCGAACCGCCCGGGCTGCGGGGCCGCGGCTCGCCCTGCCTCGGAACCGAGATTAACCCCGGCAAACCTGCTGGGAGCCGGGATTAATCCCGGGAAATTTGCTGGGAGCTGGGATTAATCCCGGCAAACCTGCTGGGAGCTGGGATTAATGCCGGGAAATTTGCTGGGAGCTGGGATTAATGCCGGGAAATTTGCGGGGAGCTGGGATTAATCCCGGCAAACCTGCTGGGAGCTGCCAGCCCCAGCCCAGCCCAGCCCAGCCCGCTCCGGGCAGCGCTCCCCATCCCAGCCGTGCCCGCATCAGCCCCGCTCAGGGGGATGGAAGGAAGAGCCGCGATCCCGGGAATTCTCCCAGCAGGAACCGCTCCCGGGAGGAGCGAGGAGCACGGGCTGTGTTTGTCACCGCTGCCCTTACGGCCCCGTGCGACATTCATTGGGACATGGGGCGGGATTGCCCTGAGGTGTCCTGCGGCAGGGATGGGGGCAGCCTGGAAATCAGGGGGTTGGGATCGTTCTCCTGCTCCTGGTGTCTGAAATCAGGGGTTTGGGATCGTTCTCCCGCTCCTGGTGTCTGAAATCAGGGTTTGGGATCGTTCTCGGGCTCCTGGTGTCTGAAATCAGGGGGTTGGGATTATTCTCCCACTCCTGGTGTCTGAAATCAGGGTTTGGGATTATTCTCCCACTCCTGGTGTCTGAAATCAGGGTTTGGGATTGTTCTCCCACTCCTGGAGAGAGGCTGCTTCCTGCAGTGTCTGCACTGGCTTTGGGGAATGTGGCTCTGGGGCCCTGGACAGAATGTGTGGCTGTGGCCAGCTCTGGGCTGTTGGGTAAGTAAAGAAAGGCCTTTTTTTGGGTGGAAAAGCTCCAAGGGCTCTGATTTTGGAGGAGGATCCTGCCCCCATGGCACTGCCAGCAGTGTTTTCAGTGCTGCCATGCCTCTCCCAAGGTCTGCTCCATCCAAGGGCATTGCACACAGACTCTCACTGAGCATCTGTCTAAGTGTCCAACATGGTTACAGCTCTCTTCATGAAGGCTGAAACCATATTTTTGATGTGTCTCCAGCCTGGAAGCACTGACTGTTCCATCCTGCTGCATCTCCCTGGCCCTGGGGCTGCTCTGGCCGTGGGGAGGGCAGGACCCTCCAGCCCTGGGAGCAAAGAGAACACCTCCAACGTTGATCATAAAGTCACACAACAGTCTGGCATGGAGGAGACCTTGTTGTGCCCTTGTTCCACCCCCTGCCATGGGCAGGGACACCTTCCCTTATCCCAGGTTGCTCCAACCTGGCCTTGGACACTTCCAGGGATCCAGGGCAGCCCCCACCTCTGTCATGGGCACTGCTGCAGGGTTGCTGCTGAATTCAGTTGTTGTATTCTCTGGACATGGAAGAATTTCAGTTGGAGAGCTCAGGCAGGCTGGGTTGGCATCATTACTGACCCAATTGCTGGAATCACAGGCTGCTCTGGCTGGAGGGGGCCCTAAAGCCCACCCAGTCCCAATGCCCTGCCGTGGCAGGCAGGGTAAATAATTTAGCCTGTGACTGCAGCCGTGAGAAGCAGAATCTCCAGCCAGACTTTGCATCCTATTTCGAAGGAGCTCCGCTGTAAGGTAAAATTTACAAAAGGGAGGAGCAATCAGCGTGCTCAGCTCCAGCCACGCTGGGCCAGGGCTGCAGCAAGCAGCTCACGAGCTTTCACCCAGCCCAGACTGCAGGACCTTGATTCATGGTCATATTTTGGGCTGCAGGAGCATCTTCCCGCCTCCGGCTGCAGGCAGAGCCGTGCTGCCGGCTGACCCTGGAGCAGCAGCCCCGCAGGAGCTCTGGGGAGGGCTCCTGCCTCACCCCGCTCTGTGCGCGGCCCCACGGCCCCCCCAGCTCCGCAGGGATCCCCCCGAGGCTGCCGAGAGCAGCCTTGGCTCTCCGGAGGTTTCCGTCCTGCTCGCCGCGGGGTGTGCATGGCTGTGTCCCTGCGAGGGGCTGGGGACAGCCCTGGGCTGGGAAGGGTTTGTGCAGAGCTCCTGCTGCCCTGCTCCTGCTGCCCTGCTCCTGCTGCTCCTCGTTCGGCCCCGGTGGCTGCAGTGCCCCCAGGGCTGGCGGGGAGGGGTCACAGGGTGGTCACAGGCAGCTGTGTTAAACCACATTAGCTTGATGAAGCATTTTGAGCGAGTCGTTTAATGAGCGCTCGTTGTCTTGCTCAGGGGGAAGTGCACGCGGGCGCGTTGTCACAGTGATTTGGTGGCACTGAGGTGGCACAGGGAGCCTGGGCACGGCTCGTGGCTGAGTCCTCTGCCGGGGTTGTCACGTACCTCCTCTTCCATAAGCTCAGGCTTTTCATCATGCAGAATTATGTCACTCCAGCGTTTTACTCTAGAAGTGATTATCTTGCTCAGGAAATGAAATAAATCCCATATTTAAACACGTCTTCTGTGCAGAGACTGTAACCCCCCCAAAGCTAAGCAGCTTGAGGGAAGGTGCTCTGTGGGATGTGCCGGTGCAGAGCGTGACTGTCCCTTTCTGTCCCCTCCCTGGTGCCTCAGGGCAGGGGCAGCCCTGGCAGGGGGGTGGTGGCCAGGACCCGGGTGGCAGTGACCTGGGCTCGTCCCCAACACCGAGTCACAGCATTTGGCAGGCCAAAAAAACAGAGTGGGAATTCTCCCGAGAGGTGCAGGGCACACCTTGCAGTGCCTGGGCCCCCAGGGAGGGGAATGTTTCCAGCTCTGCCGGACCTGCTCGGGGCTCTGAAACGCAGCTGGGCTCCAACACGAGTGGGTGCTGCCAGCAGGGCTCCAGCTGCATCCCCCCGTCCCAGCGAGACCCCCAGGCTGTCCTGGCTGCGAGGGGCACCTTGGGCTCCGTGAGCCCATGGCTTGTGCCCCCCGATGCCCGCTCTGCTGGGTGTGCCTGTGCTGCAGTGCTGACTCACTGATGAGGGCTCTGGAACCTCTGCCAGGGGTCCTGCTCCCCCCAAACCCTGCTTGAGGGTGACTCCAAGGAGAGCACCCACAGCTGGGAGTTCGTGGGTCTGCTGCATGATGAACTGTTAATCCTCTTTGGGAAAATACAATACAGTAGCTGTCTTTGCTGGGATTTAATGCTTTCCATCCTCAAAGGGATGTGCTGGGTACCTGTTAATGAGCCATCCGAAAGGAGCTCGGGCTGGTGGGTGGCCGTGGCTGGCTGCCAGCCGCCCCCCTGCCGCTGTCACACCCCCCTCCTCAGCAGGGCAGAGGGGACACCCACCGTGGTGTGCCCCTGCTGCAGGGCAGGGGTCAAAGCTCTGTCACCCCGAGCTCAGACCGGGTTGTGACCACCCCCAGCACCCCCAGCTCGCTCTGCCACCGCTCCTGCTCCAGCTCTGGCTGCCTCGGGCAGGTCCAGCAGGGGGATCCGGCCTGGGGGCTGCTCCCACCCCAAGGGGACAGGCCAGGGGCCTGGCAGTGAGCAGGGTGGGCACCAGCACCCCCGGAGGTGCCCCCAGCTCCAGCCCCCCGGGCAGATGTAGGGTGGGGTCTGGGGACCCCCTCTGGACCATTTCCCGTGGCCTGGGCTGGGTGGGAAAGGGACTAGGGGTGACCCTGCCGTGCCACCCACGGGCACCCTGTGCCGTGGGGCTGCACCAGGGACACCCACTGCCTGTCCCTGCCCAGGGCCACTCTGCTGGTGACAGTGACTCCAGGACGGGGGTCCTGGGGCGTCTCCAAACCTGGCCACCCTCCCACCGCTCCCGTGAGCAGCTCCCCGGGCCGGGGGTCCCCTCTGTGCCCCAAGCCAGCGCCCCGGGAGAGGTGGCACGGGGCAGTGCCGGGCTGGGAGGGCAGCCCCGGCCGGGGATGGAGATAGGGATGCTTTGACCTAAGAGGGATGGGGATGGTTTTGCTTCCAAGCCTTTGCGCTGCGGCTTATTCCGCTGGCGATGCTGGGGGAGCAGGATTAACCCTGGCCCTGCTGCGAGCCGGGCGCCAGGAGCACGGCATTAACGTGTTAACTCCCTCACACACCGGAGCACAGCGATTTTCCTCCCCCTCCCCCTATATATTTTTTTCCTTTCCCCTATAATTAACCCATTTTAACAGCGGATTGCTGCCCGCTCTAGAAGACCTCGCTTAGCGATGCCGGCAGCGATTTTTCCGGGCGGATCTGCCTGAACGCCTGCCTTCCCTCCGAGCACAAAGGAGGCCCGTCGCTCGCATCCTCTCCATCCTCCCCATCGCTGCCATCCTTCCCACAGGCTCTGGCGGGGGATCCCGGCGCCGCTGCGGAGCCGCTGCCAGCGCTCGGCGGGCTGCCATGGGTGGGAGGTAGCGCTGCTGCGCCTGGGCGAAGGACACCGATGGATGCTGCCGCTCCTTAGGGACGCGCTGGCGAGGGACGGGGCTCGGCCGTGCCTGCTCAGCACTTGGCGGTCCAGCGGCGCCGGGGCCAGCGCTCGCAGGATGCTGGCGGTGATTTAAAACCAGCGGCCGGGAGGCTGCGGCGAGCCAGAGCGGCTGCGGAGCGATCACCATGAAGGAGCGGCGCTCCGGGAGCACCTGACTGGATGGATGCTTCTGCCTGAGCGGCAGCGTCGCCGCGGAGAGCCCGGAGTGAGCCCGAAGCGGTCGCCGCGGCAAGTTCGCGTTCCCGGGCCGGCGGCATCGCGGGCGCGCAGCGCGGCTCTCCCGGAGCCCCCGGTGCTCGGGGGGTCCCAGCTCGGGGCTTTGCCGGCCGTGCCGGGCAGCTGCAGCCCGCGGGGGGCCGGGGGTCCGCCCGCCACCCGGCCGGGGCGCCGCGGGCGCGATGCAAGTGTCCATCGCCTGCACGGACCACAACTTGAAGAGAAATGGTGAAGACAGGCTCATCAGCAAGCAGAACACCACCACCCCGAACGTAGTGAATGCAGCCCGGGCAAAATTCCGGACAGTGGCTATTATCGCTCGCAGTTTGGGGACATTTACCCCGCAGCACCACATTTCATTAAAAGAATCCACCGCAAAGCAAACGGGCATGAAATATAGGTATGGGCACGGTCTCGGTCTTTGTTCCCTTGCAGCTTAATAGCTCTTTACTTTGCCTGCCTGGATGCACCTGGTTTTGCAGAGGAGCTCTCTCCTCAGGTTATTAATAGATTTTTAAACTCGGGCATAACTGGAAAGCTTTGGGGCGTTTATGTTTTTGCAGGCATATGCATTTGTGGCTTTATACCCAAAACCCGCTTGCTCGGGCAGACTCTGTGCAACGCTGTGGATTTGTGACAGCGGTGCTAAGATGGTTCCTATTAAGTGTTCAGTGTAACTAATATTGGTGCTAATGAGCAGAAGGATCAATTAGCCAGGCGTGCTTGGGGCCGGGCGGGGAAAGTTGGTTGGCAGCGTGCTGTGGAGCAGAGGCGTGTGCCGTGGGTATCAGCCCACCGCGGGGGCGGCTCACGGACTTCTCACCTGGTGCACTCGGGGAAGATGAGATCAAAGCCAATTTTAGACAAACGCAGAGAACAAAATCTCAGGCATTCTTATGGAATGCCTCCTGCCCCTCACAGGTTTTTATTCCTCCTAGCCTAGGCAGCAAAAATGAAGAATGGCTGTGAGTTCGGTCTGGAGTGCTCAGTGTGGGCAGCTGATCAGCTCCTCTGTGCCTTTGGCTGCGAGTGAGAAGGATTTGTGTGCCTTTGGGGCTGGCTTCTGCCTCTTCAGGGTGTCCCTTCCAGCCACCGGTGGGGGACGTTCAGACTGGGAGAAGGGGACAGCCTGGGATCTCTGCACCCTGTGCCCGAGGTGGAGCTGCTGCTGGGGGAGGCAGCTGGCACAGGAGGGCTCCATGGGCAGGCTGAGGGGCGTGGGGCCCCAGGCAGTTTTATCCTCCTGGTTCCCAGCCCGTGGGATACCAGCCAGGGCTCCCGTGCCCCCAGACCTGCCCAGGGGAGCTGCAGTTTTGTGTTAATGCTGGCTTTGGGGTCCTGGGATGGCTGCAAAGCCACTCTGGGCTCAGCACCGCTCCCGGATCCAGGCGTGGTGCAGCCAGGGCAGGGTGATCCTGCAGCTCGGGAAGTGCCAGGAGCTGCAGGGATGGGAAGCAGCGTGGATGGGGTGCTCAGATGTCATTTTCTGTGGTTTCCTTGGAAGGCTGATCAATGACAGGGAGGCTTTGCCCGAGTGGAAGCCCAGCCTTTCCAGCTGCTTGTCCCTGTCCTTCAGCCATGACCAACTTCCAGCAGGGACGTGCCACCCTCCTGCCCTGGTGTTGGCAGCAGAAGTCCTCAGTGAGCCCGTGGCCAGGGCAGAGCTGCTGGTTAATAAATGTCTCCTGGAGCCAGCTCCCAGCTGGACAGGGGCTGGGGTGGCAGGGCAGGGGCAGTGTCCATCCAGGGGGATCCTGGCAGGGGCAGTGCCCAGGGGGATCCTGGCAGGGGCAGTGCCCATCCAGGGGGATCCTGGCAGGGGCAGTGCCCAGGGGGATCCTGGCAGGGGCAGTGCCCAGGGGGATCCTGGCAGGGGCAGTGTCCAGGGGAATCCCAGCTCCCAGGCCGTGGGGAGGGCAGGGCTTGGAGCATGGCAGAGGGCCTTGTCTGAAGGCAGGACACACAGAATCAGTGTAACTTGTCCTTTAACCACCTTCCCAGTGGAGCAGTGGCAGCCAGCAGCTCCTGTGACCCCTGACCCCTCTGGCAGCCCCATCCCAGCCATCATGCCTCAGTTTCCTCATTTGTGGCAGTCTTTGATGGTGTCCCTCAGAGACAGGACCTGCTCCCAAGCCACGCTCGCTGGCTGTAGGGGCACTGTGTGCTAATTGCCAGCACTTATCCCCTGATTTCCCCGGGCTCCCGGCTCTCTCCCAGGGTACCAACACCCCAGAGAACCGCAATTCCTTGCTCCTGCAGCCTCCAGAGTTGGGCCTTTGGGAGTCCTTTCTGCCTCATTCCTGGATTAGGTTTGGGAGTGAGGGTGGCTTGTCCCACCGGAGTTCTCACAGCCCCGGCACTCCGTCTGCCCCAGACCTGGGAGCTGCACCAGGAATAGCAGCTCGTTGGCGACAAGGCTGAGGTTTTATCTTTATGACTAATCTCTGTTTCTGCTCGCGGATCTCTCCGTGTGCAGAGCTGATTTCTCCCCAGGAGGAGCAGCGCAGGGGGATTTGGAGGAATGGCTGAGTAACCCTCGGGCTGAGCTTGTGCCGCTGCCAGGCTCGGTAACCTTTGGGTGGGGAGGCACCTTCCAGCCAGTGGAGCTGGAATTTCGTGTTCACCTTGGGACCCCTTCCTCAGCCCGAGGGGAATCCAGAGCCAAAGGCTTTTCCCGGCGGCCACAACAATAATTCCGTGAACTCCTCATCTCCCTCACATTTTGAAGCTGAAGTCCTTCCCAGTTCATTTTCTGCCTGAATTACGTCCTTGATGCCGAGCTCTGCAGCGCGAGCTGCTCCAAATGCCACCCCAGCCACGCTGGCCCTCGATTCACGCTAAAAATACCGCGAGCCGCCCCCCCGGCCCCCGCGGCAGGGCTGCCCCGAGTCCCGCTCCGCTCCGGGATGCTCCGAGCCCCGCTGCCTCCCCCGGTGCCAGGCGCTCCCGATCCGCCGGCATTATGTAAAAGGGAGAGACAGCGACTACGCCTGTGACAGGGGTGGGGGCGGGAGAGGAGCCAGCTCGGGGGCTTTTCACCAAGTGACATGTTTCTGGCCCCGCTCCAGCTCGGGGAGCGAATTGGAATACGGGAGGCAAAAGTTTACGGGAATAAATGCGTTCGCCGGGAAACAGCTGCAAATGCGAGGACTCAGGTGCGTCCCCGCGGCGCTCACCTGAGCAAAGCTGGGCTCTGCCTTCGCAAAACGAGCTCTGCGTTTGGCACCTTCCCCGCCCGGCTGTGGCAGGAGCCGGACGGGAGCTCCCGGCGTCGCCTCCGCTGTCACCGCCGGGCACAGCCTCGCTGCCTGCTCCTGCGGAGGGCTGCTCTCCTTTGTCCTTTGTAATGCTCCCGTTCAGTCCCGCTGGGGAGCCTGCCCGGGTGCTCGGGGGGAATATCTGGGATCACTTCAAGCCTTTCTTTGAAAATGATGTGGTTGCAGCGCTTGGCTCGGAAAATTGCAATCTGCCGCACCGCTGCTGGAAACAAAGGATGCGCTTTGCTTCCCGAGGTGATGCACGGCAGGGAGGAGGCACGGCAGCCCGGGTCTGCCCGGACAGAGGTCACAGCACGGCTTCTCTCTCCTAGCTGCCGTATTTCCTTAAAATTCATCTCAGTACAGTGGTCCCAGCCGTGCTGCTGGTGCCGGGGGCTGTTTGAGACGTGGCGCTGCTACCGCAGGGAACAACTTCTCAAAGTGACACTGGCACCAGCCTGCCCCTTCTCAGACTTTAAATTACATCTCAGAGAGAAGTTTTTACAATGAGGCTGCGGATGCCTTGGCCATGAGTCCTTAAGGTCCCTTGCAGCCCAGGCTGTCTTAGAATTCCCAGATTCTTTGGTACCACCCTTATCCATAGCAGCTGCAGCACTGCAAAGCCTTGCCCAGAGCACCCTATCTACCCAGGAGCCTGCTCTGTGCCCAGGATGTGCCCGGAGCTGGGATGTGATGGGAACTGGGATGTGCTGGGAGCTGGGCTGTGCCCGGAGCTGGGCTGTGCCTGGAGCTGGGATGTGCTGGGAGCTGTGATGTGCCCAGAGCTGGGATGTGCTGGGATGTGATGAGAACTGGGATGTGCTGGGAGCTGGGATGTGCTGGGAGCTGGGATGTGCTGGGATGTTCTGGGAGCTGGGATGTGCTGGGAGCTGGGATGTGCTGGGATGTGCCCGGAGCTGGGATGTGCTGGGATGTGCCCGGAGCTGGGATGTGCTGGGATATGACGGGAGCCGGGCTGTGCCGGGCTCCGCCGCTGCGGGGCCGATTTGGGGCCGTCAGCAGTTCACAAATAACCCTTTTTACCGAGCCCTGCCCGCGCATGGGCACGAGGGGCCCAATTTACAGAGCACAACTATCTATTTGTGCTCATCCATAATTGATGGAGGCAGCTTTGACCATTAACTGCCTAAACAAAAAATTTTATCTGCAAAGGCAAAGTGGCGGAGTTCCTATTGCGGGGAGCCTGGGCAGGGTGGGGAGAGGCCGGGCACCATCCCCCGAGGTGAAACCCATCCTTCCCACCCAAAGCCGGTGAGAATCTTCCCTCTTTAGAGAGGTGTTACTAACGTTTGTAAGACAAGAGCTGAAAAA